CTACGCGGGGCTCTTCTCCACGGCCGACTTCGACGCCGCCCTGCGAGGAGGAGAGGTTCACTTCGGCACCCACCTGGATGTGACCAGCTATGCCGAGGGAGTGCGGGAGACGCACAACCCCTGCGGCAGAGCCCTGCCCCCGGTCGTGTGGGACTTCTACCAGAACGGCTGCTCCCTGCGCCTCCTCTGCCCGCAGGCCTTCTCCTCCACCGTCTGGGACTTCCTCTCCATCCTGCAGGAGCAGTTTGGCAGCATGGCAGGGGCGAACACCTACCTCACGCCCCCGGGTACGCAGGGCTTTGCCCCCCACTATGATGACATCGAGGCCTTCGTGCTGCAGCTGGAGGGGAAGAAGCACTGGCGTGTCTACAGGCCCCGAACAGATGCTGAGGTGCTGCCGCAGTTCTCCAGCGCAAACCTCACGCAGGCTGAACTTGGCGAGCCTGTGCTGGAGACGGTGCTGGAGGCTGGGGACCTGCTGTACTTCCCCCGTGGCTTTATCCACCAGGGTGATTGTCTCCCTGATTCACATTCGCTCCACATCACGGTGTCTTCCTACCAGAGGAATTCCTGGGGGGACTTTCTGGAGAAGCTACTCCCAGCTGCCCTGCAGATGGCCCTAGAGGAAGACGTGGAGTACCGACGAGGGCTTCCCATGGACTACCTGCAGTATATGGGGGTCGCTAACTCAGACGCAGTCGATGCTCGGCGAACGGCCTTTGTGGAGAAGTTGCAGAGCCTGATAAAGAAACTCATTGACTATGCACCCGTCGATGCTGCTGTGGATCAGAGAGCCAAGTCGTTTCTTCATGACTGTCTCCCTCCAGTGCTCACACAAAGTGAAAAGGCGCAGAGTGTCTATGGCTTCCCAGCACGGTGGCAAGATGGAGGCCCCTGCAATGTTGATATCCTGATAACAAAGGACACCGAAGTCCGCCTGCTCCGCCATGGCATCATTAGGCTGTGTAATGAAGAAGCAGGTGTGATGCTGTACTACACTACGGAAAACTCAAGAGTGTATCATAAGGAAGAACCCAAGTTCCTTGAGCTGGATCCCGAGTATACAGAAAGTATTGAATTTCTCCTGTCTTCCTATCCAAATCACGTCAGTGTAGATAACCTTCCATGTGAAACCTTGGAGGAGAAGATTTCTCTAGCTACACTTCTGTTTGAGAAGGGTATTCTGACTACAAAGAAGCCTCTGGCACAAGTCTAACTCTTATTTTTTCACAAAATAAATGTACGCTTGTTTAGAAAAATGTTCTGTCTTGGTCTTGCCTTATGCCTGCTAGATATGAATCTTCAGTTCAGGTCTCTGCATCTCATCTGGAGGTAGATGGTCTACATTAAGGATAGAGAAATCAAATGTTCTGATTAAACTAAGTATTTGCTCTAGGAGCAATTCTGCATGTCTGAGTGCCTAAAGAAGAGAACTGGTTATCTTCTTTTTACCAGCCATGTTACTACACCCTAGGTAACATCAGGAATGTTGTGAATCTCTTCTTGTAAATCACTGTCGTGTTTTCACAGTATTTTAAAGCAGCCTGCTCAGCTGTATGCCTACTGTTCATAGATATATTTGGTGATGGTCACCATTCTGTGTGCCTTTGCTGTGCTATGCTGCATATATGGTGTGGCCTTCAGGCCTGTGCTGTGTTGTAAAAATCACTTGGTCACATGTTTACTTCCTAAAAGTGGGGCCTGCAGGGAGCTCCCACTCAGTTTGAGCAATTGCACCCACTTACGTGGCCATGCCCATAGTGAATGATGCAGTAAACTTTTCTCAGGCAAACATGATCTGCTACATTTGAAATGCTTCAGGCTCACCTGCGTCCTTTTCAGTTCAACAACAGAGATAAAATATCCTCTCCCAGGGGTTTCCCCACAGCAGTCCCTAGCAATTAAATTATTGGTCTTTTCCAGGCAAGGGGGGCACCCTCCAGTATGTTTGGGGTTTTCTTGTGCTGGGTGAAAAAAGTCATTTTAGGACCTATCAAGTTACATAAATATATGCCTGGCTGTGTGGTCAGTTCCCATAAATACTGGCACACCTCTGAAACACTTCCACAGTGCTATTTTATCATAGCAGGTGAGAGATATTTAGTCTTTAAAGCCTCCTGAAGCTATACCCAAGTGAGCAGGGTGCATTACCCTGTGCTCCTTTTGAACTAGTTGGGTTATCCAGGTTTTGCAAGATGGCACCCATGCACTCTTAACTGTTTGGGATTTAAGTGTACACTATGCCCTCCAAGATCCTATATTTGCAGTAGCACCAGCCTTTCCTCCCTTTCTTGCCTGTATGCTTTTGCTAAATACTGAAAATGGGGCTGTGTAAAATTCCACAGTACAAGAACATGCTGAGGTGCCCTTGGAGCCTCTTGGCTCTGTGAAGCACTAGTGGCTGGACAGAAATGCTGTTGCCACACTCATCCTCTGACCCCTCTGTCTATTCATCCTCACCAGAGGGTCAGCCATTCTTGCCCCACCATTTATGTCCCTGGTAAATATATCGTGCCTCCGTGGTGTCCTTCCTGGGCTGCTGTGTGCTCTACGTTCAGACACAGGCACCAGCATTGCAGCTTTGCTGCTTGGGGCTGTGGTGCAGAGCTGCACCAGGAGCTCATGCAGTGGCTTTCTGCGGTGGCTGCAAGCACCCCAATGTCTGTTTTGAGCACTTTAATGACAACCAAACACAGTATAAAATCTCCTTAGCTTTTCCTTTCCCTGGACGCTGGTGTGATGGGGTGGGGCATTTGGGTAATTCCCATCTCAGCTTTTAATTCTGGTGAAACTGCCTGGGCTAGACACCTTACACATACTCCTCAGAGATTTATGCAGGGCTAGCCAGGCACAGAGTTTCTCTTCTTCATTGTTCTTTCTGCAGAAAGGTATTTCTTGCCGAGACCTGCAGATTATACCAATTTTTTTTTAACTAGGAGGTGGTGGCCCATTATGATCCCAGTAAGAAAAGCACTCATATTTTGTAAGGTATCTAAAAACAATATTTATTAGAGCTAACACTAATCTTACATCCCTTTAGATGCTGAGAACCCCAAGTGAAGAAGCATTTCCCTATGTCATGCAGACATGGTTCATAGCAGATATTGTCCCCTTTCAGTCTTTTAAGATATTATAAGATTCTTTTAAGCTCTATTTAGCATATCTACAGTCAAACAGGAACAGTGTTTGCAAGGGAATGTCTTTCTGCACTGTTCGATAAGGGCAGGGCCACATAAGTTGTGTTACCTCAGGTCCTGGTGGGAGCTGGCTGTGGTCTCCTCTGTAAGGAAGAGCTGAGTTACCAGTAGGGCTTGGGATCTGCACAGGACAGCACAGGCCTGAAGGCCACATTTTACAGACAGCACAGCACAACACAGGCAGCAAAGGCATGGGGCAGTGTCCTTCAGAGGACACACCATGGCTATTGGAGGGGAATGTTCTGCATGCTGTAAGGCAAGGACCATGCTTGAGGGTTCCTTCACGGGCTTCCAAGCAGTGCAGAAACAAAAATAAAGGTACAGGGAGCACATACACAAATTCTTCCAAGCAGAGCTGAGCAGGACAGGAGAGTTTTGAGAGAGTAAGCCTTTATTTGCTCTCATAACCAGACCCTTGGGGCATAGAAAGAGCATCTTTTTGAAGGACACAAGGATCATTGAGTTTCACAACAACTATATGGGACACAAAAAGTGGGGAGGAGAGTTGTCAGTCCCACATGTGCCTGTCACTTTGCCACTTTTGAGAAAGCTTCAGAAATACTCATCTGGTTTAGCTATCACCTGCCAGAATGCTCATCTAGGATAGGGGAAGGATCAAACATATATGCACTGGAAGAACACAGCATGGGTACTCTTCAGCTATCACCATCTCACAGTGACTGAGACATACCATGGGGAGGTTGTGAAGTCACCTGCATTTTTTGAAGCAGCTTTCATGAATTGTCACCGCAGGCCCACCACCAGGTGTGAACACTTAGTCTACAAAATATAAAGAAAAAAGCCTTTACAGGTAGCCAACTGTAAGAGGATTGACCTTGGCTGGCTGTTAGATATCTGCCAAGCCAAGCCACTCTTTCAATCCTCGGTAGTAGCAGGAGAGGCGGAGGAACAAAGAAGAGAAACCTTACAGGTCAAGACAAGGACAGGGACTAATTCATCAATATTTTTCCCAACATCAGGGGCAAAACAGACTTGACTTAGAGAAGATTAATTCAATTTATTGCCAGTAAATGACAGAGTAAACAGTGAGATATAAAAACAAAATTAAAACCACCACCCCCTCATCTTTGGGCAGCATAAGGTACACCTCTGAGCTGGCTGAAAATGTCTCTGTCCAATATGGGGGAACTCTGATGTTATAGGGGAACCCTGATTCTTACAGCCTCCCACTAGCAAAACATTTCTACATTAGCTCTAAATAATCTTACTTTTGTCTTGCAACCAGGGCTCAAATTGTGTCATTATGCTTGTTCTCTCCTGGCTATCATAAGGGAACATTTTGCACGGGAATATAAACAATTTTTGTGTAGTAGACGCCTGTCATCTGTTCAGAAGAAAAAGTAAATATTGCTGTCACTTTCTTCATGTGGTTTTGCAAACTCTCAGCATTAGACAATCTTCCCCTCCAGGAATCTTTTCAGCTCAAACTGATGAGCATTTCCTCCTCTCTTCCAGGTGAAGGGTCCAGGGGTTGGCCTGCTCAGTTTCTCCAAAGGGGTGAAGTGTGCCTTGCCATGGCTGCCTTCCTGCAGAACATCATGGCTGCTGCTTCCCCAGTGGGAAACATTCCCATTGTGGGAAGCAATAGGAACATTCCCTCTGTGACTGTTACATTGATTCCTCTCTGTTACAAGGATTAAAAAACCCCACACCTTGATCTTATATGAACACAAAGCCAAGGCCACCAATTCCAAATGTCTTGGCTATTCTGATGTCCTTGATGATCCCTTTCAAGCCCCTGGCAACCAAAGCCTGATCCCACTAGAGAAAGCTGAGGCACAGTTCCTATTTGTCCTGGGACAAGATGACCATGTTGTCAAAAGTGAGCATTATGCTACTGAAGTCTGCAAGCTTCTGCAGGCTCAAGGGAAAGAAAATTTTCAGATTCTCTCCTACCCTGGAACAGGGCATTGCATAGACCCTCCCTTTTTCCCTTTGTACCGCATAGGAAGCCACCTTGTTTTTCACAAGCGGGCAGTCCTGGGTGGGGAGCTCAGGGTTTATTCTAAAGCTCAGGTTCATGCTTGGTCACAGATCCAGGCTTTTTTCAAAAAGTATTTAATTGTTAACTAATGTGCAATAAATAATGTGCAAGCAAGGTCAAACCTTGTCACAGGTGTATCAGTACAACTACTGTATCTTCCATGACTTTGGACATCCATAACACAGAAAATAAAAGGGTTTGCCTTTTCTGTTCCTCCCTCAGCCTTTTTGCCCAAGTGCCAAGAAAAGGAATGGTGGTTTTTGCATTAGTCTTTGATAAAACATGTCATGTGCAAAATGTGCAGTTACATTTCTTGCGTGGTTTCTATTCCTTTAATACTTGACAATGCTTTTCCATGTGGTCTTTACATGCAAGTGCTATCCTCAGGTCATACTGTTTGTCTCTGACACTTGTCTCTAATGACAAATTTGGAGCAGGGATTTCACTGCTCTTATGTGTTATTGCAAATGAATGTGAATGTATCATTGGAAATGGAAACATCTCTGACCTCTGTGCTGCTGGAAATGTGTAAGAATGGATGCTCTAGACAGGATGCTGGGCTGTCTCTGGTTAAGCCTTGGGACAGGTTGTTTGCCTTTTTTGTTATTGGGGTGAGAATTGTAATAGAGTCTGAAATTTGAAAGTCATGTAGTCATTTGTAGTGCTTTGGTTAGAAGTAGGTTTTACATATTGACTGCTCTCCCATCCATGGTGGATCAAAGGCCCTGTTGGTGGAAAGACCCTGAGGGTCTCCTGCTCCTCCTCAGCAGAGAAGTCACACTCACTGCAAAACATCTGTGTACAACAAACCTCCACCAGCACCCCAATTGCTTTGTGAGGACCAAACCAGGGGCCAGGGAGCACCATTTCTGTCAGAGCTGGAGGGCTGCCACCTCCTTTGTGAACACCATCATCCCATGCCAGCTGAACTACCTGTACTGGGTTTCTCCATTTTGCAGGTGTCCTCCAGGCCAGCCTGGTACACATGGGACAAACCTCAGAGCCAGCAGCTGGCTCTCAGCCCTGTCATGTTTTCAGCACCTGGGCATCCTCATTGTTGCCCTTCCCTGCCCAGCATGTTTCATAACAGATGTTATCTGCAGCACTGTCTGACACCTCTGGGCCTGCCCCAGCATGGGTAAGGCTCTTTGTTAGAGCGTGGGCTAGAAGAGAATGTGACAGAGCAGGAGGGATTCTTGGAGTAGCTCATGGCTATGTCAGGTGCTGTCATTGCACAAAAGGTGCAAGACTGCATGTCCCAAGAGATGCCAGGAGAGCAGTGCTGGGCTAGTGGGGCTGTCTCTGCCTGTGATGTTCCCAGCCCTGCAGCTTGGATGACTTTGAGGGGAAAAAGACAGCCTGTGTGAGAATCCCAGGAAGGAGGGTTGCAGCTGTGCCTGTGCCTGTGTCCAGTCCAGCAGGCTGCTGTAGAGAACTTCCACCACAGCAGATAAACACCCTATGCATCCACAAGTGTCTGGAGAGAGCAGCCGCATTTTGGAGATCAGAGTATTATAGAATAGTTTGGGTTGAAAGGGACCTTCAATGTCATATACTCCACCCCCCTCCTGTGCAATAAGCAGGGACATCTTCAACTAGATCAGATTGCTCAGAGCCCCATCCAACCTGGTCTTAGATGTTTCCAGGCATAGGACATCCATTGCCTCTCTGGGCAACCTGGGACAGTGTTTTACCATCCTCATTGTAAAAAAACTTCTACCTTATGTCTAATCTGTATGAACTGTCTTTTAGTTTAAAGCCATTGCCCTACTAATAAATTTGTCTCCATATCACAGGCCTCCTTCAGGTACTGAAAGGTGGCAATAAGGTGTCCCTGGAGCTTTCTCTTCTTTGAGCTGAGATGCCCCATCAGTGTCAGGGGATCGGCTGTGATGATCCCGCCCTGCCGTGGGTGCCGAAAGGGGCGCAGCAGTGGCTCCAGGCAAATTTGGCGTCTCAGCACGTGTGTGCCCACACCATTCCTGTCTCAATTCCCCTCCCCTATGTGTGGGAAACTGCACTTATAGAAGAAGCCTCAGCTTGAATGCAGTCAGAGTGGACTCAACAACTCCGGAGCTATGTGGCAGGTCAGTGCCCGCTGCCTGTGCCGGGCCAGCTCCCGCGCCTGGCAGAAGCGGCTGCCCTGGCCCGGCCCCTGCGGTCCTGCAGCCCCTCGGAGCCGCAGCCCCGCGTGGAGCTCCGGGACAGCCCCCGCCCAGGGACTCTCGTCCAT